TGGGAAAGAGAGGTTCAAAAACATCTACCTAATGTTCACTGTGTGCCAGATATTTTACTGGACACTTTCAAGTAGATATCTTATTAATTCTCTATAATTTTCCTTATTCCATTTGCAAGTAATAGCATGCACGATCAAAACTATGAATCATCTTCTCTGGTTATCATTTTACATCCTACCCTAGCAGATTCAATTCTTTTTAGGCATATATGCCTTACATTTGGGATAGACTCTCTTTTTATATACATGTGTACATGTATACAGCCACACTCTGTCTAACAACATTTTGGTCAGCAACAGACCACATATATGACAGTGGTATGCCATATAGCCTAGGTGTACCATAGGCTACACCATCTAGGTTGTGTAAGTGTACTCTATGATGTTCTCACAATAACAAAATCACCTAATGATGCATTTCTCAGAACACACCCCTGTCATCAAGCACCGCATGACTGTATACCTCAACACCACTCTATCCCAACTTCTCCCTCATGAGCCATCTGAAAAGTCAAGGGGTTTAAACCTAACAAAAGTTTTTAAAAAGTAATGCTGACTATAAGCAAAATTTACACACTTAAAAAAATTGTCCCTTTTAATTTTACCTTTTTATACAACTTCAAAAAGTAATACATTAGCCATCTTTGTGACAATGTCACAAAATATGATTTTAATATTATTGCCAGGTAGCCAATAATTCTAATTAACTCCTTGATTTCTTATAATGCTAAATTTTAAATCTTCGTGCATGCATGTGTACGTGATCATTCTTTCTAAAAAAAAGTCATTTATATTGACAATTATTTTCTCTTTTTTTTCATGATATACCTTATTGGCCAGTATTTACAAAACAAATTTGAGTTAAAAAAAAAAAAGGTCATTGTCTTTTATTCCTAAGTGGGAATTTCCCCAATATTTCACCAGCCATCTCTACTGAGCATCTACAGTGTGCCAGGCTATATTAGTGGCATAAAGATAAATAAGCAGGGTTAACTAGCCTCAATGAAACTGCAGTCCAATGGGGAAAGCACAGGTAAATAATTAAGTAAAATTTAATGTTTTCTGTGCTATAATATGTGCATCATTCAAGTATAATGCCAAAACAGGTCATTTCAGGTCCCAGGAGATGGTCATCTCCATCGGAGAGCCCTCTCTCTGTCATCCAAACCAATTTCATCATGTTACCTCCTAAACCTACTCCTTCCTTACATGATCTCTCTAATGTTACGGGGCCCCACAATGCTAGCAATCAATGAGGCTGGAACCCTCTGTGTCATTACTTAGTCCTCTTCTATGCAGGATTCTCAGAGCCACACAAATAGTTTGCTGAGCTTATCAATTATGCCTCAATAATATCTTTTTCAAGACTCCTCGTTCTCATTGTCTTACTTTCATCCTTGTAACTCTTACCTAAATAAACGTATAACCTCCTATCTAGTTTCCTGCTTCTTGGCTCTCCCATTTTACACCACGTTAGCAGATCGCTCTGCAAAAAGCGAGAGCTTTCTAAAGAACAGCATTTGAAGTTCTCTACAATCTATTCCCAACCTTTTCAAATTAATTTCCAGCTGCCAGTCTCTTTCCCACACTCTGTGGCCCAGAAGAACTATATTTATATAATGATATCACAAATACCCTAACTCATCTTTCTCAAGAGGTTCTTATTTTTAAAAAAACTACTGTTTCCTACCTTCCTAAATAGTAATTCTAGCCATATTTTAACATCCAAATTAAATAATGGCTTATCTGAGAAGTTTTACCTTACCTCTTCCATATGGAAAAAACTGGCATTCTCTTTTGAATTCCCCCAGCAATTTATTTGTGCCTCTATGCCTTTTATTAATGTTATCTGCTCTAACAGAATAGATTTTTTAAGAGCAGGACCATCTCTGGCCCCCAAAATGTTGTTAGTATGTAGTTAGTAATCAATAAATTCCTTTTTAACACATTAATGCCTATTAGTTTTACTTTTCAGTCAAACACAGATTCAAGCAGTATAACATGCTGGACCACTCACCTGATTTCCATAGGGAATTGTGCGTTTGTGACCAGGAAACTGGAAATTTTATTCTCGTGGAGTAGCTTCAAAAACCTGTTGATATCTGGGTACATGATGGGCTCTCCCACAAGGGACAATGCACAGTGCTTTACTGTCATTCCTTCTTCAAAGCGTTCTTCTTTAACACCCGGTACTCCTAGAAAACACAGTGAAAAGGAACAAGCTCAATAAGGCACAGATAGAGAATAAACACTTTTATTTTTCTTAATTGAAAAATTTTTATTTTTCTTAATGGTTCTTTGATTTTAGAAGGCAAATTTATTTTTGATACCAGCCAAGTAATACAAAACAAAGTACAAAGGGAAATGAAAAATTACAATTACTAAAACAGAAAAATCAGTCAGCAACTCTGCAGGTCCCAGGCCTGGCTGGTCCCAGATCTGGCTGTGATCCACGCTCGCGAGTAGGAATAGGACCCTGGATTTAGAACGTTACATTAGTGTAGTAGGGCACCTGCACCTAAAATATGTAAACATAATTCAGCTTATTGTATCACTACAGTTCCCTACCTCTCCAAGGTAGGGATTGTGTGGCTGAATGCCACTATTGTACTGTGATATGTGTGGAGCCATGCGGTCCCCTGGAGAGCGGAAGGGGAGCAGAAGAGCAGAAGCAGAAGCCCGCTCCCTGCATAGACTTCACTTCCCACAACAGAAGTGCATTCCCAACAATAAAGTTGGTGCCTGCCGTCTCATTCTCATGTCAGCCTCTTGTGCATTCTTCCAACTGGGCATCTCACCATTGAAACCTTCCTTTCTCAATCAGCTCAGCGCTGACACTTGGCGTAGTCAGCGGGAAGAGGTGTGTACGGTCCCCAGTGCTCAAGACGGTCCCAGTTGGAGGAGATCTGAGTGGAGGACATGTGGCCCCTCGCCTCCCAGTAGTATTCCATGGCTGCATATCTGGCTACATGGATACTCCCAGAGGATTGGGATGCAGTGAAGCCACAATCAGAGGACGTCAGGAAAGCCCTGGAGATGTTGGAGCCAAATGTCTCAATCGCTTATCAGAAGGCAGCCGGTCACGTAGCCTGGATGTTCCTGGCGGTGCTGTGGCAGGCCAGCCTGCAGGTTTAGGATCAATTTCAGCGGGTGCAGCAGCTACAATGCCAGGAAGAAGTGCTGGAAAGGCAGCTGGTGGCAGCAGAACGCATGCTGCAGGACCCTGAAAGGTCGCGGCCATCGTCCCAGTCTCGGAGCTCGCCAGCAATACCACAGCAAGTGTGGCCGGTGATGCGGCAGCAGGTTGAAGTGAAACAGCTATT